CAGTAAGGCGTTGCAGCAAGGCGGTTGAGCTCCCCCTCATCCCCAAATTAGTTTGGGAGTCCCCCAGAGTGTGACTGATGAGTGATGGGGCAGCTGCTCCCTGCCTCTGCCGTGGATGGCTCCCTCCAGGAGCCAGTGCCACACGTTAGCTGGGTCTCTGCCGGTCCTCGAGAGCTGTTGTCTGCTTCCCTGCAGTCTCAGACCATATCTGTTTGCTAGCAGTGCTTTCTTTTTAGAGTGACATGTGTTCAACCCCTCAAATTACCTGCTGTGGGCTCGTTCTGAAATGTCAGAGGGCTCGGGAAGGATCAGCAGCTGATGGGGACCCCACCACAGACACACAGGGTCTCAGCAGAGGCAGATCCCTCAGCACGGGCCTTGAGGACCGGCCCAGTCACAGCTCTGAATGTTTAAAAAAAGTGGATGAACCAGGCCTGGGTTAGACAGGAGGGACCTTATTAGCACCGCTGGTTTGGTAGAACCCCCCCTCCTTTGAAGACGGGGTACCAGTGCCCGCATGCGCCTGTGTAACTGCCCATGGGGGTCCCTGGGGTGCTGCAGCCCCACGGCTGTGGCTTCGGCAGGGCAGGGTCCAGCCTTGCTTCAGGACGGTGAGTGGGAATATTGGACGCATGTCTCACATAGGCCGGTTTTCCCACACCACCTAGTGGGAGCAGGGCTCTCTGCCCGGCTGCTTTCTGCAGCATCTCCTTCCCCTTCTCTGGTGGGCACCTGCTCTTGGCCCCTGACAGAGCGGGGACGCGGGGCTGCTCCTGCGACCTACATTGCCAGGCTTAAATGCTTCCACCTCAGCGCAGACCGCTCCCATACGACCCTCTGCCCTTCATGTCTCACCTTGTCTCCTTACCGTTGCAGCTCACAAGCACAAGAAGCACGATACCTTGCAGCCCTGCGACACCGAGTACCCCGTCTTCGTGTACGAGCCGGCCATCGAGGAGACCAACGGGCTGATCGAGTGCGGAGACTGTCAAAAGTAAGACTTGTAGCTTCCCTTTCGTCTCGGGGCTTGCGCCCCTGTCCCCAGGTCGTGACAGCACGTGAGCCTGGTTGCAGGGCTCGCCGGTGACGGCAGTACCCTGAGAAGTGTCTCCTGCCGCTGTGCCCATCGCGTGGCCTCTGCCGCAGCCGCAGCGCTGGCCCCA